TTTTTTTTTTAAAAAAAAAAGCTGCATAGTAGTGCTTAACTTAAAGAAATACAAGGAAGTAGAAATAAGATTTCTAAAGAAATTAATTTTTTCATGCATTTGAAAGATGATTTTGGTGCAAGAATCACTGTTTTTAGATATCTTACGCTTCAGTAAATATGCTTTTAAATATCTGAGAATTTCCTTTTTGGTTTTCTGCCTTTTATGTCCACTCTCTGTCACCTGGATGTGAAAACATATAAAAATCCTTATATGCCCTTTCAGTATAGATTGAGAAAGGCAAATGACAATACATGCAAATGTCATCATGCGAATGCTACAACTCACTTGTATTAGATATCAGAACATGAATGTTGTCATTTTGGCATCATCTTGATTTGTTGTGGCTAATGCATCATTTTGAAGGGTTGGTAGAGAAATGTATCAATGTGACTATTACATATTCATATTGTATGTAGAAGATGTTTATCAACTTTTTATAAAGTGTGTGAATAGTTTTGTAAACCATAAGATAACTTATATATGCATGTTTGCAAACACATTTATATTTGTGGACCAAGCAGAATTAAATATGTTTAAGTGATTTTAATGTTTGTTATCCCATAAACAGTGATATTGAGAAAACTGACAGTTTTACTAGGAAATGGTATTTATATCTTGCTATTTATCTCCACAGTCAGCTGATCTGTCCAATAATGATATATATTGCACACATACATGTTTCTGTATGTGTCTCTGTGTATGTACTGTTTTGATGTTATGGAAGTACAACTCTCCCTGTAGCAGGAGTTTTTCTTACTTTTATACCCACATTTTCTTTCTTACAAATCACCCAACTATCCAAAGCAATTATGAAGAATGCAGGAAAGGAATAATACAAGTTCAAGTGCTAGAAGCCATTCTGTATGTGGAATGGCACCATTGGATAAAGCCCATATCCTTCCACCTTAAGGATTGGAAGTCTGTGGTCCTTCAGATATCTCCAGATCTTTTTCCAGCACAGTACAGGAATGAACAGTGATAAGGAGTACTGGGAATTCAGCAACTTCTAAACTATCCTAAGTACTTAACTCTTAATTTACTTAAATGTTATGTAATTGCAATGTGATTTCCCTAATGTTGATTCATTAGAAAAAGCCTTTACTTTTTGGACTTCCATATAAATAATAAGGAATAGGTTCATTCTAATTTCACATTTGTATCATGAGATTATAACTGTCCCTGATTAATCATGCTTGCTTTGCAAATCCTGTTGATAATCCAAGAGAACAATTTCACAGGTTAAAATGTTTAAGATAACGCACATTGTGATGATAGAACTTCATATGTCATAAACTGCAGTTGAAGATTCCAAACACTAGTAAGCTCCTATATGGGTTTGCTGTTAGAAGTGTTTTAAAACGTTATTTTTATTTTCTCTAGTACAAGTACAGAGACTTGGCTGTTCAGGAAACTGTCAATGTTACTGGCCAGTACAAAGATCTCAAACCTGTTATGGATAACTATGGTAAGTTGCTGTTTTCTGTATTTTTCAGTATGGTTTTTGTTAACATTTAACTATTATATAGTAATATTNCCTCCATTTCTTCCCCATCTATTTGCCAGGAATTGAGAGGGCCGGATGCCATGATCTTAGTTTTCTTAATGTTGAGTTTGAAGCCAACTTTTGCACTCTCCTTTTTTCTTCTTCTACAACCTTCTAAAATAAGTGTACAAGAGAGACTGGCCAAATTGGGCGGGGTATTTGTTTAGACGGTGAAGTCTGATCTCTCTCCCTACCTCCCCGCACACGCCCTTGAATGCTGTTGACCTTATCTCACCCAGGTGCAAACTGTGAATCTGAAAAGATTCCTGTGTGTAGCACTGAGCGATAAAATTGCTAACTTAACTCTTCAAGTATGAGTCTGACAACAGGTCAAGAGAATAGGACTCTTGCCGATCAATCAGAATAAAAGCTGGAAGGGACCTTGGAAGACTTCTAATCCACCCCCCTCCTCCGGTCAAGCAGAAGACCCTATACCAGTGTTTCCCAACCTTGGCAACTTGAAGATGTCCAGACTTCAACTCCCAGAATTCCTCAGCGATTGGGAATTGAAAGTCTGGACATCTTCAAGTTGCTAAGGTTGGGAAACACTGCTCTATCCCATTTAAGACAAGTGACAGTCCAGCCTTTTCTTAAAAATCTCCAGCGACGAGGCACCTAAAGTCAAGCTGTTCCACTGCCTAAATTGTCCTCACTGTTAGGAAAGTTCACCTAATAGATTCCACCCACCCTAAATTGGGAGGATTAGAATCCGAGCCTCTGCTCTTAGTCGCGTATCTTAGTGATTAATACACACCCCATTTCTATCCAATTAACTACAACCCAGAACAGACTGGAAATCGGAATGCCCTCCCACCCTCTCTATGATTTGTCTTCCCAGAGGGACTAAAGTGAAAACTCTATTACTATTTTTTTCTCTCTGGTCGAGGGCGGGGGGAGAGAAAAACTAAACAAACAGTTAGCCGCCGGAAGTGACGTTTCGCAGCCTCGCCGAGCGGAAACGGATCGCGGAGGTTGTCGGAAGCGGAGCTCCGAAAGGTTCTTGTTCGTTCGGGAGTTCAGAGGAGGGGGTGGAGGTCGTAGGAGGTAGCACGACCGAGGGAGGGACCGCTGCCGCCATGGCCTTGTCCGAGACTCAGCTGAAGAAAATGCTTGCTAAGGTAAAGGCCCTGAAGCGTCCCTTCTCAAAGCAGCCTTTGAGTCGGCTCAGCCCAGCCGCCCTCTTTTGAAGGCCTCTCTCTCTGCCTGGTCTCTTTTGGGGGGCGGGCGGCGACGATAGAGCAAAAATCCCTCCTTTTGGGGGGAAGAGAGACCCTTCCGAGCCGTTCGCGTTTCACTCCCCCCCCCCCCTTATAAACTGACGGTTTTTGCCGCTTCCTCACCAGACACCCAACTTTTGTATCCACAAATAAACAGTAGCCAAAACTTTGGGCACCTGCCTATTCCAACGGCCAGCTCTAAATTCAACACGAATAGCCTAAAGAAAAATATCGAAGTCAGTTTTCTCTCATCCCTGGGGATGCAGTAGACTTATAATTACGGGAAATGTTCTAATCTCCAATGTCTGGAATTTCCAGTGAGCCCATCTAATTTATAAGTGGTCCATAATTTTTGAAAAACTCTGGCTCCTATTTGAAGAGCAATCTCTTGCAAGTCAGCTGTTAATCTTGAAATGAGACAGTTGTTCTTCTAAAAACACAAGGCTTCTTTGGACTCTTCTAGTTCTCCACCCTTGCATCTCTGACTGATAAGATGGGCCTTAAAATAAAAATTAAATTTCTGCAGGCCACTAGTGCTCTTCCTCCGAGTAGTCCTTATTGGGAGAAAGGTTGAATGTTTCTTTCAAAACTTATTCTACAGGACTGAAAAGAAAATAAGTGCTTCCTCTCTACATCATTACCCTCTTCTTAGTTCTCAGTCTTGTGGTATGGACTGTTGGAGACTACTTATCTCAGGAGAAAGAGAGATCAGCTGAATTTGGTGTCTGAAGTCTTGGAGCATATTTTCCCCATTAGATTGGATCAGGTTATAGGAAGTTTGGAGTCTCTCCTTTTATTTGAAAGTGAATATACAAGATTATTTGGTAATCTTGTATATTCTATTGGTTTTGTCTGCTATAAATTTTCTTTGCATTCAGACAAATACAAAGCCACTGGTCTTTCTCTGTAACTCTTTGCTTGGTTTGCTTTTTCCAAGTTTTCAGTTAGTCTCCCCTTGTTGTGTTTTATTTCCTTCCCCCCCCCCCCAGAACATTTTACTATTAGCCACTCCTTATTTTCTTTAAAAAAAAAAAAGCTGCATAGTAGTGCTTAACTTAAAGAAATACAAGGAAGTAGAAATAAGATTTCTAAAGAAATTAATTTTTTCAT